TATAGATGACAAAAATCAATGAAATAAGAAAAAACACTGTGAACTGCATTTTATTTTCTGTTACTCTCAATATATCTGTAATCACACAACAGGCAACATCAATAAAAGAATCCAAAACTGTGCCAAGGATTTTATGAGTCACTCATTCAAATTACAACTCTGTTTCCACTGTTTCTTTGGTTTACTCTTTATAAAATTTTAAATATCAAAAGATCTGGCAGTCCCTACACTAAGAGAGCTCAGTGCTACGTAGTGAACTTTCTTAGCGATTCTTGAGGCATCAGTAGCACTGACAAAAAATTTACCAACAGCCAAGTTCATATGTAGAGCAGCATCACAACCAGTGGTCTGATGTAATGAAGAGCAGATATCTTCTACCGTGGAATGAGCTGCAACAAACCTGCTGCCACACCAGTTTTACTTTTGAGGATGTGGAATTGCACCATCGGTGTATCAGCAAGAGTTGTGTACTAAACATCAGCTGTCAAGGCAAGTTGGTGGGGAAAGCCAAATGACTCTGTCAGTGTGCTGAGAGAGCAGCCCGAGGCTGACATGTAATGGTGAAAATGTCTCAGAGCACTGAAGAGGAGCTATAAGTTTCCCGTCTCTCCTAGAGTGCCCAAGAACCGTCAGCATAGTAACTGTTCTTCAGCATAACAGGGGAACTCTTAAGTAATGAAGAACTCAAAATAATGAACAGCATCAGAGAGAATCCACACCCACCTAATTTAATGATGAGCATTCAAATGAGCAGCTGCTTCTACTCTCCACGTTACTGCTTGCCACAGAAACACACTGCCACTTCATTTACCTCATGCCTTTCCACCTTAACTCTTAAGATAGTTTCATATTGTCACTACAGAAATACCTATTGTGATTGAGCAGAATAAAGTCTGCATTTATGTATTCATGCAGCTCCTCGGCTTCTCTGAAGGAAAGAAAGGCACCAGAGCATAAAAGATATCAAAAGCTCCTGCTTCACTGCCACAGGCACCAGAACTTACCTATTTCCTTGTTCCAGTACTCCCATATCTGTATCCAAGTCAACCCCCTCCAAGATACACTATCTGTCATCAGCTTCTACAGCTATTCTGTCTGATGGATGAAAACTACACAGTACCATGGTAAGAACTTCTTCAGATGGAGTTAAGTGTTATATCTTTTACCCTTATATTCCCTTCTCTGCCACACACCACTACCAGCATGCTCTCAGTACTTGCTCTCGTTACTGACCATTTCAGTCCCACCTGCCATTCTCTTATTCAGAGAACCAGCTGAATTGATAATTTCTTCTCACGCTTTCTACATTTTCACTTACTTTTTCAGACAGATGGTGCTCATCTAATATCCCTTGCTGGGTAAGAGCTTCTCCACAGGAAAGGCAAACCTGGAGCCAAGGAAAATCATAGCCCAGGCATTGTCCACACCAACCAGAGTACAGTCTCACAAGACCTAAGAGCAGCAGGCAGAGCCAGATGCTGACAGCAGGCTCAGTTGACAGCCCTAGATAGAACAAAAAGAAGACTCAGGCCCAGCACCCAACCAGAGAGCCCAGGATGCATTAGCAGGAAACAGGACCAAAACCAAGACTACAACATCAGTTCAAGGTCTTTCAGGAAACTTGGCTGGAGACAAAACAGGTAGCAGTCACACTTCAAACCTAATTCAAACAACGACAAATGAGGCCTCTTCTATGACAGATCAGACAAGTTCTGTGTGTCTGCATGTAATAAGATCTCTACTAACTTTTCTGATTACAGTGAATTCAATCCTGATTTAAATAATTATAATATGGGGTGACTGGCCCTAATGATTTGTTTGTTCTTATGCCTTGATCTTATCTTACACTGCTTTCAGTTAGTTATACTTTAAAAATAAATATGTAGAAAAAGTGTAGAAAATGTGAGAGCAGAGAGACCATCCCCAGAGGATGTAACAGACAGTACCAAACTGCCTCTAAGACTGTCTGACTGACTCTGAATGTTGATTGGTGTGAAATAGACTGATGTTTTTAGATCTGCTCCTCTGCAGTTTTCACAGCTTGTTTTGAGTGGCATCTAAAAGTCTCTAACTCTCCAAAATGTGAGTAAACAATTGTAAAACCTTAAAGGTCAGCATTTTCTAGCATGAGGTGTCTCTGTCAAGGTGAGAGGGAGGAAAGAGAAGGTTGTCCCATTCCCTGATGGGAATGGGAAGGTGGTTCTTGCTGGAGCCTGACCCACATTCTGATGCTCATCTCCCACTCTCCAGGAAAAGAAGTCAGCACATGGAGCAATAGCGCAAGACTTCTCAATGTATCATGGCCCTTGTTGGTGCTTGGGTCAGCCTTAGCTCTGATAGGTTTTCTGACAGAACCTCTTCAGTTCCCTTTTCAGGAGGCATTCCCCTCCCTGAGCATTGCTCTCACCAGCACAAGTAACCTTTCTTTGGTTTTGTCACAAGACTAAAATGGGATAGACAGAGTGATGTCTCCAGTCCCCTGTGGGCCTAAGATGGGATAGATGGAGTGAAGTCTCCAGTCCCCTGTGGGCCTAAGTTGCAAACATGTCATTGAACATCTCAGGAATGAGACAAATGACAGCAGTCCCTGTGAGGACCAGAATCCTTTTTTTTTCTGAAGCAAAATCCCAGGCTGATCCTCATCATTGCTCTAAATTCTGGTTAAAAATACCTGACCTTGTGAAACTTCACAGTTCTCCCCGGGCAGCCAGCCCCTCCCTGTCCAGCAAAACACCTGCTGAGGTTTACTGAGGACCAGACAGTTCTGCCTATCTCCACGTGTGCCTGCCCTTGATCTGATGGCACCCTGATACTGGCTCTTCGTATATGTAATCTTCTCCCACAGCTTGATAACTTACTTGTTATGCACCCACACGGACACATGCGCCGACCTGCAAGAGGGGGTTGTGGGGGGGCGGCAGGTGGATGTAGGTGTCAGGGTGTGCTCAATCACCCTCTGCCCAAGAGCTGCGGCACCGCGCTGGGGGCGGGGGGGGGGCGTGGGGGGTTTCCTCCTGCAACCTCCCCTGTACTCGGGCTGCTGCTGTCCATCTCCAGTGATGGGCTCTGCTCTCCTCGGGAAGCAGTTGGAAGGAATGCTCTGCAGTGCTGACACATCTCCCCGAATCCGCTGTTTATCGGGGCGGGGGGAAAAAACGCTACCGGAATATTGAGCACTTAATAAGTCAGTAAGTGATCAAATAATCATCGCTCCTCCACGGAACAAAACCGGTCTCGTTCGCCAGCGGGAGTCTGAGCCGCTGTTTCCGTGCTCCACCGCCCACGGTGGTGAAAGAAAACCCTGGATGAATGGGAAGCTCGGGGTTTCCCTGCCACCCACCACCTCCGCAGCCCAGCGCAGCCCAGCCGTGTGGGCCGGGACTGCGGCGCCTGCCGGGGCGGGAGCGTCTCTGCTTCTGCTGCTGCTGCTGCCGCCGCCCTGCCTTTTCCGCGCCTCTCCGCGGCTGCGGACCGGCTGCTCCCGCGGCTGCTTGCCACACCCGCCGCCCTTACGTAACTATTGGTCACACTTTGGTTATCCCTAACCTCGGACTGCCGCTGGATACAGCACCGTGACCGCTGGGCGGCTGAGCGCAGGCTGCGGCCGCAGGGGCCCCTCCTGCCCCGCGCAGATCCCGCAGGGACACTGCCTGTGCAGCACCCCGTGGAGGCTGCGCCGCCTCAGGAGGAGCCCCGCGCTCCCACAACAGACTCCCCCATTTCCCGCTGCGTTCTCCCCCCTTTCTTGCCGCGGACTCCCTCCTTTCCCTCCGCGGTTCAGGGTACTCCCAGTCGCAGCCCCCCCATAAGCGCTCTGTCCGGGATGGCGGTGCGCGGGGTCGCCCCTGGCCGCCAGCGCCGCTCCCAAGCCTGCACTCCGCGGAGGACAGCGCGCACTGCCATCCGTGCTCGCAGCCCATTATCCTGAATGGGAGAGTAATTCCCACGCCCAGCTTGCTCAGAGATTTTCAATAGCTCTATACCACGTAAGCGAGAAGAATCGGCCACAAGCAAATGCCTTAATTTTATTTTATTTTATTTTTTTTACCGCAGCGCCCACCGCACGAGGAGATGAAGGGATACTCCATTCACTGAACTGGGTACTCGTCACGGCTGGGCAATGGTTCCCTGTTCCCTCCGCGCTGCTTTTGGGGAACAGTGGAGCCAGACCTCACCGGGCTCGTAGGGGTGGCAAAGGGCATCCCCGCTACCTTGCTCTCTGTCTTCCCGGTGCAACTCGTCCCCGCTGCCGAAGGCCGAAGGGACAGGGGAGAAAGCGCTACAGGGAAGGAAGGAGGGGGTGCGGGGGTGTGTGTCCCCCCCGCCGCCCCGCTTGCTGTAACAGCACGTGGTGCTCCTGGGACGCGGGTCCTCAAACGCCCCCCATCCCCCCTCCGCCCAGCCAGCTCGGCTTCGCGAGGAGCTTTTTATAGCAGCCCCGACACGCTCCCCGATGGGAGGTTTCTCGCCGCGCTCACGTTACCGTGCGGGTGCGATGTTAAACGAAGGAGGGGGAGGAGGGGAAGGGAGTCCAGCGAGCGCCTAATTAAGCGCCGGCGTTAACCAGGAGGGCTAAAAATAGCGGCGAGCGCTGCAAACCACCCAACCGCAGACAGCAACCCCCGTCGGTCCCTCTCGCGCCTCCGCCGCTGAATGGAGCGGCCGGCGCTGAATGGAGCGGCCGGGAGCATGAATGGGGAGCGGCGCCGGCGGTGGCGGGGCGGGGCCGGGCGGGGGCGCTGCGGGGCCGCGGGCGCAGCCGGAGCCCCCGGCGGCGCACGTGCCGGCGCGGGGGCGGTCGGTGTCACCTGGCGGCAGCGGTGGCGGCGGGCGGGGCGGGGCGGCGGGCGGGGGAGCCTATAAAAGTGTCCCGCCGCGGCACATGTACACTTTGGGGAAACTTCCCAGCTCGAGTGGCGGCGGTGGCCATGGGAGGCGCTCCCGCCAGCCCCGCTCCGCCTTAGGGCGGGCAGCCCCGCGGCGGAGGGCGGCTGTGGCCGGGCCCCCCGCCTCGACTTGCCCTACCGGGGAGCAGCGCCAGCGAGCGACCCCGCTTCACCCGTACTCGGCTTTGCCCTGGGGGGCAGCGGCAGGATGAGACTAAACGGGAGCGAGCTGAACAGCTCTGTCCTCCCGCGGGACCCGCCGGCCGAGGGTGCCCCGCGCCGCCAGCCCTGGGTGACCTCCACTTTGGCCGCCATCCTCATCTTCACCATCGTGGTAGACCTGCTGGGCAACCTCCTGGTCGTTCTTTCGGTCTACCGCAATAAGAAGCTGCGAAACGCGGGTAAGGGGCGATGGGAAGGCCCGGGGGCGCCGCCCGGGCTGGGGTGGGGGAGGTCCGCGGTCCCGGGTCGCGGAGCTGTGGCCGCTTCGTCTGTCCGTAAAACTTTCCCCGGGCGCGCAACTCCAGGGCTGGGCTCTGCTCGCATCCTCAGCTGGCGGTTATAGGCTGTGACAGATGCTAAGGGCTTCGTCTTCCTTGTCGAGTCGGTAATCGAGCGGGAAAGGGTATTTTTAGCTCCCGCCACCGAGTCGTGGTGCTATTTTTAGCTCTCGGCAGTTCCCACCTAGCAAAAGACAAGTAAGCAAGTAAGCCGTACTTAAGAATGAAATGTAGTCACCATACTGGGGATGCTGCTGTGGCATACAGTGTGTGTCTGTGCATGCTGGATGCTATTCTTCTGATTGATTTTCTTTGAGTTACAGAAATGTCTCCAGTAACAAATGCTATGGTTGGAGCTTCAAATTAAGGAAATACGAAATTATAAACGTTGCAGGATTCAGGCAATTCCCTCACCCTGCTTTGTTCACCTCCTACTTGCTGTCTAGGTCTTTGGGGAATGGGAAACATCTAACAGAAAACAGCTTTAGGCACGTTTTTTAAAAAAGTAAAACTCTAATTTTGACAGGATAGAATCCGTGCTGGCCTATTGAGTAAATCCCTCTTAGTTCGTGGATTATTGGTCAGACAGGCAGGAACTTCTTCAGATTCATTCTGCTTTATCATGTCAGACCAGCTGCTGCGCACGTGTACCAAATCTGTGCACTCTAAATCCTGTGCATCTTTCATTGAAAAAATACGGGAGCTTGGGAAGAGAGCCACACTGTTAATGAAAGCAGAATTTCACTCCCTGACAACTGGGAAGCTGCTTTTATTTTTTTCACAACTCAGCTCTCAGGGTCTTTATTATTACTCCACTAAGTTCATTACCTAGTGGTTTAAAATTCATCTGAGGTGGAACTTGAGCCCAGGCTTTGCTGTGAGCTAGCCTAAGATAGCTATAGCTATTGGACTCTGGCAAACAGTGGCATGCTAAACTTTCTAAGGTTAATTCAGGTAATTCAAATGTATTGTACATTTCAGTTTTATTCAGCCACAGTGGAATGCCACACACAAGATCAAAACGAAGAGTAACAAATTTTATTTTTTTTCTCCCTGTGGTTGCCGCTGATGTAAATTCTAAAAGCTATATTTGCTTCCTGCTTTCATTCACAGAAATCTCATTCACTGGAGCTGGCAGGGTTACACACTGCAATAGTGTGTAATTGAGAGGAGACTCAAACTCCGGAAGTCCAAGTCAGCACTTGACTACTCTTGTTCCCTGGGATATTTTCAGATGGGGGGAAGAGAGGGTTGAGTCAGGCATATTACTGGGGCTACACCAGGGGAAAGGGTGATATTCTTCTCCTCCTCAATTAGTAAATCGATTTACTATCTATTCAACACTTCTGTGGGGAGTTGCAATACAAACGTGTCTGGTAGTAAGTCTGAAATAAACGTGGTGCCTGTTTTTTGGAAACAACTGAATCATTGGGCTCTATGTGTGTGCATACTCTCTGCTGTACATCTCATGTAATCCCTCTTGAAACTCAACACGTGCTCACTTGCTCACTCTTACTGCATTTCTTGTTCTTGCCTTTTCTGTCATAGTGGCTGTTAAGAACTGCAGCAAACTGGCAACAGTAATCTCCTACAGCCAGGGGAATAGAGCATTCTTCTGAACATAAACTATTTGAGACTGGAACGTGAACTAGATAATGATTTACCCTCTGAAATTAAGGATTAATAAAAACAAGTAGATACTTTGTGCTATATGGTAGATAGTTTATAGTTCTTTTTAACAAAAAAATAGCAAGCTTTTATTGTTAAGTTTTTTGTAGGTTTTTCTTTCTTTAAAATATGGGCGTTTTAGTACATGGATAAAGGGAAACTTTGGAAATAACATAATTGATAAGATTCAAAAAGGTGTGCTAATTGTTTTTGATTAATCCTGCAAAGTCCTATGCCTGGACATAACTTTACTTATGTGAGCACCACTATTAAATTTGACCTTCAGTTAAGAAAGGATTACTCAAGCAAGTAAACTTAAGACAGGGGATAAGTGTTTAGAAAACTCTGGCCTAATATTTGTAAATCTGAAGACTAAAGTCTCCTAAATCTTGTTTACACTAATTCAGATTATTCAGGAAGGGATTATATTGAAAATAATCTGCTTTATACATACAACTAGCTTGTAACTTGGTGATGTCAAAGACAGTTATGACTTTCTAGAGAGATGTAATAAGAAAGGAAATTCTGGTTTTGCAACAACTTATATTAATAAGTATGGCTGGCATATTTATTGAGGAAAAAGGACACAGGATGAAAATTCCAGCGGAAAAAGGTCAGGGAGGAACAGAAGATGCCTCCTGAAGAAAATGTATCTCACTGAAGATTTTCTTCCCTCTTTGCAAGAGAGGACTAACAGAAATAAAGAGTATTTTAACACTTTACCTAAAAGGTGGATTTGGTGGGGGAAAACATCTTGCATCTCTGTCCTACTCTCTATTATATAAATATTTTTTGGAAGATAACTGCAAATTGAACCTGTGGACTTATGATTTTAAAAGTGCATTGGGGAATAGTAGGAAGGCCTAGAAAAACCTTCTCAACAAGTGATGTAACCTTCCTGACAGTCAGAAGGTTAGTAAAAGACACTGATCAAAGCAGAGAAGTCAGTAACTCGAAGTTTGTCTCAGCAAGCGAGGAGTGTCTGATACTACAGACTCCTTCATAGGCACAAGCATGGCTTCAGTAGATGCTCTTCTAGACACAGAAGCTGATGATGCAACTGGTAGGATCCTCTTTTATTTAATGTACTTGACTTGTAATAAGTTGCATAGTTCTGGTCTGTTTTTAATTTTATGGTGGCTTTGTAATCTAAGAGGTGCCTGACACCAATTCAGTCCTAATGGGAACAGCTGCAATTTAATGCTGACCTACACAAAGACTGAATTTGGTTTATGATGTCTGTGATCTTTTAACTTTGGCACAAAGTTCGAGGGAAACATTCAAGGCATAAGGATTTTAATGACTATATCTTGATAGCACATTCATACATCTTGAACTTTAAACTGATGTGCTTTCTTTAATAATTAATTTCTTAAAAGAATGAGAATAGCTCACTTTAAAAAAGTTTTGCGTAAATCATCCTAAGGTGTCTTGTTTTCCATTACTAATATTCATACATCAGAAATAAGGTCATTCAACATTTTCACCCTGAAATGATGCAGTAACTAGCATTAGGGAAGGTGGATTAAAGAACTGCTGGTACTTTTAGCAATAAGTGTAGTTTTTACTTGAAACTATCTACATTTAATTAAAGCACCTCAGAAAACCAAAGAGATCATATAAAGTGATTTATGTGATACACACAAATTTGGTGATTGCTGGTATCCTTATGCCTTTTTTGTTACCCACAGCAAGAAAAACAATGCATCAAGAACAAGGTGAGGGAGCAGTTCTGTCTTTGACTATGGAGATTAGTTTATGAGTTGTGACATTAAAATGTCAGTTAGAATGCACCTGTCATTTTGGTGATGGTGGATTTGGGTAATGATTGCAGAACTGGACCATTCTTAAGGTCAATGAAAAAAGCTTTCTTGAGTCCTATCACACCTCTTGCTCTTCTTTCTCTTCCTTTTGAAACTGTTATCTTGGCCTGGTGGGTTGCTTTTTCCTGGGCACTTTATGTGTTGAGGTCCAGAGGTTCCCTGAGTACCCCTCCAACAGAGCCCTGTGTGAGAAGGGAGCCTCCAGCAGGCAAGAAGAGTCCCAGCAGTCTCACCCTTGCTCTTCTTTGCCTGTTCTATCTGCTAACATCTGACAGGGGTTGGGATAATACAGGGACTGGTGCCAAGCTGGTAACTAGCACCTACCACATCAGGGCAGAAAGCTGCATTCACCCTTCTCACCTATCTCTGTTCTGTGCTAGGTGTATTTGGGGTTCTATACTTTTTCCCAGTTCTCCATGTCCTTGGCCCAAATGTTTTGTTGCTAAAGCTCTTTGTTTTGTTGATAGTAAGGAAAGCAGAGAGGAAGCTCGATATTGCTGAGGCCTCAGGCCCCTGGAGCAGCAAGATGCAGTTAACTTCACTAGGACTGCACACATGCTTAAACCTACGTATGTGTGGTAACTACTTTTCTGAATGAGATGGCAATGAAAAAGGGAAAAACCCCAATGTTTGTATGCTCACCTCTTTTAGGTCCAAGAGTTCTGTGAAGACAGCTCTATGAGTGCAAACAAGAATAATAAACTCAAGAGTAATCTCCAAGATCAGTGAAGTTACTTTTGAAAGAACTAAGGAACACAGCTACTTACAATTTTTTTTTTTTAATTCAGTCTTTGCTAAATAAAACAGTCATTGCAGAATTGAGGATGAGAATCTATCAGTAAGAATTCCATTTTGGAGGCTTTTCAAACAGGTCCTGGGTTTCAGTTTGAGCAGTGTAAGAATCTAGTTGAAGAGTGTTCCTCTCTTAGTGCACTTTCTAGAATGTAAATTGGAACTATCTTTTGATAGTCAGATTGGAGATATCATAAGCCTTTTCAGAAAAGTGTTGTTCTTGATGACGTTTTGTTTTTTAATTTTAAAATTATAATGTTAAATGCTGTAGTAAAGATTGTTTTATCTAATAAATAAAACTCCTGTTGTGAATTCAGACTAATGGAGTCATTCTTTTTGTCACAGGTGATCCTTGGACTTCATTTTTGTGCCCTGAGAGACTGGGTAGCCCGACAAATACTTGACTCAAGGAGAAGAACTTGTAGAAGATCAAGCGGTAGCACAAATTCAGGGTTCTGATAAAAACTGAGATGTTGATGGCAATGAACATTATTTCAGAAATTAATAACTTCCAGTATTAAAAATGGTAAGCTGTTTGGGAGAAGGGAAAATGTCTAGTGGAGATGCTGAACTTTGCCCATTGTTGAAAAGAACTGAGCATAAAAGTACAGTTTCAAT